AATTAAAATCGACTTGACTTGATTTAATTTTTTCGAATTTCGCTTGTAACAGCTACTTGAGCGTTAAATTCCAACACAAACACCAAGAAAATTGACCGCAAATATTTTCTGCGACTTCTTGCATTTTTGTTGTTATTGCGTTTTTTACTTTGACTTTTTGGCTGACGTCAAAGGAAGCAGGAAACGTGTTTTGGCAGCTACTGTGCGACGCGATTTTCCTTACACATTTATTATTCTTTTTTTTTATATTTTTTTCGTTTGTGTATGTTTGTAAATGTAATTCGATTTAGAGCGCACATTTGCCGCGTTGGCAGTTGGACGGGCAAAGAACGCAGCGTGTATAATACCAAAATAAAATACAAAAAAGGCGAGAAAATAAGTCTTAAATAAAAATTAAATGCAAGTAAACACTTGGCTCGCATACACACATAGAGAAAAATATACATTTGTATGTAAGAACTGCAATTCAGGAATGATAATAACACAACAGGGCTGCTGAAAAGAATGCCTCGTATGAAAAAAATAAAAAATAAATAAAATAAAGCGGGCTAGTGCAGACACCACAAATATGTATGAACATAGGTATGTATGGATGTTAACAAAAACAACAACTGCCTAAGCAACTATCGACACACACACGCGCATTCATATAACTAATAAATAAGCAACAAGCGGAGCTTAAAGCCGCGACAACAACACACAACGCCATCAAGCCAAGTAACGTCACCTCTGCGCAACAGTCATCAACGGCAAACAACAGCAGCAATAACAACAACTAGCAACGGTGTGTAGACAAACAAAAAAGAGAAGAGAAGTTAGGCGATCAGCAACCGCAGTTTCAAACAACAACAAAAATAACAGCAACAACAAACTGTTGCTGTCGTTATAGCAAAAACTCGAACTCGTACTCGAAAGGTCGTTTCAAAACGGGTTCAAAGCAGTGTTGCCAACTAGCTAAAACACCAATAACAACAAAACAGCAAGTATGTACCACCAACACAAGTCGCACGTTTTCTGCTGAGCCCTCGTCTGCAGCGTTGCGTACTCAAACGTAGCGTTGTGTCTTGTATTCGCTTATCGTTGTTTTTGCTGTTATTTGGGTTGTTCTTGTTTTTGCAGTTACTGGTTTAGTTTGCTGCTTTACTTGTTCGTCAACAGTTGGAGTTTCACATTGCTGTTAATTTTGTTACGTTTTATTTGTATGATTTTCTTCTTTTTCTACTTCTCCGTTTGACGCTTCTTTCTTGCTTTCGTTCGTTTGGAACGCTTCACTCAACTGTGACTCACATTGCAACGATACCCCAACAATATTGGCACTTTCAGGCAAATATATGTACATGCGAACATACCTACATCCATACATACGTATGTATTTCCATGCATATTTGTATCTGTATGTCGAAGTATATTTGTGCGCCTGTTGTTTGAAGTTGTTGATATGAGGAGTAATTGAAGATGTGCATGTTGTTGCTTTTTGTTGCAAGCAAATATTTCTCTTGGTTTCATATTTATATATAAAATTCTCATAGATGTTATATTTACTTTTTGCTTATTTGCAACAATGCACACATACATACATAAATGTACATGTCTGCGCTTATGTTCGCAAAAAGGCGCGAAAGCCGCAACGCGACTTTGAAAATGGGGGATTTATTGCTATTGTATTAAGTTGCTAGGGATATTTTGTACTCGCGCATTTATTAGGAAGTCACAGAGCAGCTGAATTGTGCAGGAAATGAGTGGCATGCGCACACATATGCAGCACAATGCGGATATTTAAGGGTTTTCTTATAAAATGATGAGTTGCTTGCATAAATATTTTGTTAAAAAAAAATTTCAGTGCGCTTAATACAGAGAAAAATCTATAAAAATTTGCAAATAAAAAAACAATATGAGACTTGGAATGAATTTTTAGAAAATAGAAATAAATAAACTAAAAAAATAACGAAAAAATTAAAAAAAAAATAATAATTAACATTTTTGATAAATCTAGAAACCAAAACAAAAAAAAAGGAAAAATTATTATTAAATTATTTATTGAATATTTAAAAAATGTTTACGAAAAACGTATCTTAAATATATTATAAATAAGTGGTAAAAATAAGAAAACTTTAGGACACTTTTCTTATTTTTTTGAATAATTTGTTTTGAAAATAATTTTGGAAAATGAAAATAAGTGACAAATTTTTAGAAAAATAAACTATTAAAATAAAATAGGAACAAATTTTGGAC